GGCAGCCATGTTCATGGGGCCCCCTGGACACAGACCTTAATAAGGCAGAGTCGAGCTGCGCGAACTCAAGTCGCTCGAATCCTGGCCAGTCTGCCTCATCCAGACTGCTGAACGACAAGAAACGCGTTGCGAGATTCGATCGAGCTCGAACGACTCGCGGAATCGACTGGACCATAGCCTGGCGGCTCGTCGACTTCGTTTGGAAAAAAAACACGACAACTGCGAGATTCGTTGGAAGCGACTTGTGGAATCGCTGTGCGGATAACGAGGTGGAAGAAACGAGGACCAGAGAGGAATCTGTGGTGGTTCGAAAGATGGTGATGGGTTTGGAGAATCGGTGTCAAAGTTTCGAGATTCGGGAAAGCAGAGAAATTATTTTTTCGAGACGCGGTCGGTGTTCGAGTATGAAACGAAGGGGTGAGAAAATCGGGTGGAATAAATGGAGCAGGGGCTTTTCGAATTCGTGGTAATAAATAATCAGTGATTTGTGATTGCGAGCAAAATAGCGAAGGAAAGAATGGAGAGAAGGTGGTTTTCGAAGGGTGGCATCGCGAACGACGTACCGCGATGCCATTAATTAAGCGAAAGCTGCACATTCCAAAAGACTTTACGGTCTATCGCCAGGAAGAGGAAAACAAACCGATAACCACCGGTCGGGTGAAAAGCGCGATCTTCAAACTCATCACCGTGTTGGAGAACCTCGGAGAAATCGGAGATTTCGCTTCCATCGAATCTGCGAAACCTATTCCAGTGACGATAAGTGAACGATCTGGTACGGACGTGAAGGAAATTGTACGCGAGGTCGGCGCGAGTTTATAACGCGCGATACGAGAATGCCGGTGTTCGTTCGTCGTAGGAAGCGACGCGACGAAATGTTTTCAGCTTTGGTCGCGAAACGATAAATCGACGGGTGACTTTTACTGCCGCGATCGTTCGCCAGAGTCAGGGAAAAGTCTTTGAAAACGTGGCACCGAACTCGCTGACTTTCGTTTCTCTTTTGTTTTTCTACGTTCGCCGGTTTCTTCGCCCCGAAATGATTTTATTCCGCGCGAAACAGACACGGATGAATTTACGAATACGACGACGAACGTGATCGAATAGTCGAGAGGCTGGTCCGTACGATCGTGACGCGACGGCATTTAGAAAGCATTTTCAAGGCGTTTGATCTCACAATGAAAAAAATCGTACGAAACCGATGTATATATTGTAAATAGACGTCTATCGAATCGCGTAAGTGTACGTATGTATATATAAATATTAATATATCGACGCATGTACAGGACGTTCGGCTTCCGATTTCGCGAAGAGAGAGAATGCGACGAAAACCGGAGGCGATCGACGAAAAGAGCAAAACGAGATGCGACTCTCGACGACGTTGTGATCGCGACTCCGCCGTTTCAATTAACCCGCTCCTTCGGCTCGTTTATCCCCCGGAGGGAAATTTACGGGTGAGATAATCGATTAGGTTGAAGAAAAAGAAGAAGAGAGAAATACGCTACGTAGCCGATGACTCCACTCTAGAACAGCTCAGCTAGAATTCCCGCTCGCAAATCGTTCTTTAACGATCGCATCGAACCGAGTCGAGAAGTTCGACAGGTCGGACGTCTCGTTCGTTTAATCGGTCTTTCATCGAGCTACGCACACAGAGATTCGAAATTACAGACTTGACACGCGATCTTCAATAGTGTCCGCTGAACGCAGCAACCGGTGTGACGTAACAAATAAATTCTCTTTTTTCTAAAAGATACGTAGAAATCCGCGCGTTTTCCCAGCCAAATTCTTCGCTAGATTCGGTAAATGCGTTCGTTAAAATGGGATATTTTTTCCGTTTCGCGCGTCCAAAGGACGAGGAAAAGCGTAAATTTCGATGGCATCCGCGATCGACTCGAGATCGACGAATGTATCGCGAGCATACTGCGAACGCGACGAGGTCACGGATGTACCTAAGCGCTCTGTATAAATGTAACATGATAATTTATCCATGGAAGTATACCATAGCGAAATAAAAATGATTTCAGTATTTACGCCGACTTGTTATCGATTACTCTTGCGTTTATCCAATCGTAATAAATCTTCGAAGGTTGTCGCGTTATTTCGCGGATCGATCGAGGAGTGACTCGTGAAATCGAAACGAAACGCCAGATCCTTAAGTAATCTCCGTGGCTTTCAGGATACGCGACCAAGAGCAAAAGGTAAGTGGAGGAGAGAGTCATCGAACCTGGATCGATCGTCATTACGTACGATTGAACGGGTGAAAATAAAAGAGTAAAAAGAAAAGAATAATCCGTAGAAGTGAGAGAGAGAGAGAAAGGATCGTGGCATCGACCTCGTCTCTTAGTCGAGCGTGATCGTTCGTTGAAAGAAGTATTATGTATATCTTATGGAACGAAGGGAACGAAAGACGAGGGGAAAAAATAAAAATGAGAGAAACGAGGAGAAAAGAGAAATGAAAGAAAAAAAAGGGGGGCTCCGTCGGGCGCAACGAAATGTATCGCAAAGTCATCGGTGAGGAGAGCGACGGTCTCGTATATGGCAAGTAGTCGAGGCAACGGTATAGGGCGGCCGAAAGTGTCCGCCAGATAATTAGAAATATGTTAATCCGGCGTAGCCGCTAATTGGTTTTTGACTAAATTTTTAATTAAGTCTTAAGCCCGGGCGGCGCGCTGATTTATCGCGCGGATCCTCCGGCTAATTATAAAATATACGTATACGTACGAGAGACCCACGCACACGTGACGCCGCCGCGTATCTACGCGGACCCCAGCCCCTGTGTATGCACCTGTCTCGAATAATCTGTCCATGAGCGTCGTCGACCACCTTCCATTTCTCTTCGATACGGATATCGACCGTCCAATTAGAATCGATTTCTCTCGTCGTTCGCTTCTTTATCGAAATATTCGATATCGTTAAAAATCCTGAACCATCTACGAACTTACTTTCTCGAGTAAGAAGATGTTGAGCAGGAAATTAACGCGTCGTAAGATAAAACGAAGTGGTGTTCGTATCCTCATAAGAGGTGGGCAATTTGGAAAAAACAGAGTCAAGCGATCGTCGCGATTCAAACGGAAATTCGACGTTTCGGTTACGAGTCGACGCCAATGCGTGCGTTCGCGTCTACTTACGGGTCCACGTTGCCTATCTGCAAGAACGGGGTAGAGTCAGCGGAGCCACCTTCTCGGACTAAAACGAGAAGGCCGGCGGATCCGTTCCACTGGCACGTCCGATCAAAGAAGTTCGCCGCCTTCTTTGAATCCCTCGGCCGCTCGTAACTGTCGTCCTTTCGTTCGAGACCAGTAGCCTAATTGTTTCTAGCGGAGCCGCTGATATACGGGTTATTAGAAACGGTCAAATCGCCGGAAGTTGTCGCTGTTTTACGACCCGGGTCTTGGTCCAACCTTTACGTGTCTCGCGCTCTCGTTTCTACGCGGCTCCCTCGGAAAAGTACACGACCGAACGCAAATTCGTGGTATTTTAATTGCTGGCAACGTCGATCGGAATCGCGCGACGCGAAACTGCGAGTAAACGATCGGCGAATCGCAGAGACACGCATCGCCAGAGACGGAGTGTTCGTCAGTAGCGTGACTAGAGGGCACAAAGTACGAGTATCGAGGCGGACGTTGTCACGCCGAACCGACTTTCCCCTCTTTATACGCAACTGCATCTTGGTGGAAGATCACCTACGCGAGCATTCGCAGAGATATACGGAGGAAACGATGACGACGATAACAACGAGCGGCTGGAGGAGGTGGAAAGGAAGGCGAGCAAACGCGCAAACATCGACCCTCTAGAACGACGATTTACCGTTAAAGGGTTTACAAACAGGCGCCAGGTATTTGCTACCTCCGCGGATCGGAAGCTCTCTCGGTTGCCTCTCTTTGTTCAACGTCGCGCGGTCCTTTTCTTTCTCGCTGCTCGATGTCCGCTGCTGGCCTCCGTTTCACCGGATCCCTCTATGCCACGGGAGAGTCTCTGTTACACGCGCTCCGATCGGCGCTCCCATATAGATGAAATTTATGTACGAGGCCGACCGATCCTACGCATGCGGTCACATTGAGCGCTGACAATTAATTAAAGAATAATTTCTTGTCTTCGCGATACCCGGAGGAGCGTCGCCAGTTGGCGGCCAATTATGCCTCCGGACGAGAACGGAATACCAAGCAGGCCTGTCCACGACATCGAGAGAGCCCCTTCGATGTGTTCGCTCCGTGCTACCGCTCCTCGCCGTCTTCTCTCCCCCCTTTCTCTCTCTCTCTCTCTCTCTCTCTCTCTCTCTCTCTCGTACCGTCTCTACGACCGACTACTCTTCTTTTCCGTCTGTCGCGTTCCCGCCACGATTCCTTCCCTAACCGTGTTCCACGCATCGCACAATGAGAAGCCTGGATCTCGCGCGTCCGTCGAGAATTTCAACCGGATACGATGGACCCAGGGAAACGACGAGCGATACGCGTCAGGTTTTCGGCGAATTTCGCAAAGTGCGTCGCGCGGGATTAGCAGGAGCGAGGGACGCGCGCGAAAAAGACGGAATTTAAACAAAAAGCAGAAGCGCGTAAATCGTTCGTTCGTTTGGAATATACGTGCTTGGTTGCAATTAAGATTGAAACGAAGGCGAAATATCATCTGGTTTATAACGACGACCCGTATCGAGCGTGCGAAAGCCGGAGCGTACGAGCTCCGGAATTACAAGCGTGAAATGCGTATGAGCATCGTGTTGGCCGGTTTTCACCGGGATTCACGTCGGACCCGAAAAGGGTAAGAACTGGGGCCAAACGCTAGCCTCTGGACCGGAAGGTAGCCGCCAGGGAGGGGGGAAAAAATTCACGGTTAACGCGTGCATCGAAAGCAGGCCTCCCCTCGTTCAGTTTATCCAAATTAATTGGTCGTAAATTAAGCGGCTGGTCGGACGAGCACGACGAAACGAAGCGGGAGCGAGAAGCGGCGAGTGGATCTCTCGGGGCCTCTCTCGGAGAGAGGCCGTCCTGAAACTCGACAGGGACACCGTGATGCTCGGTTGCGCGAGTACGACGAGGAGGAGACACGGAGAAAGGCCGACCAAGCAGAAGAAGACGTAGATAGAACGGAGAGGATGGAGAAAGAGGGAGTTAGCCGAGCACGAGAGAAAAAGAGAATTAAAAAGGCAATGCTAGCCGGGGGACAGTAGCGCATCGACACGCCATTATGTGGCGGCTGGGACTAATTTATACAAGAGAAAGACGAGGATGCCGCGGAAAGTCAATCGTGCCAGTGGCCGGTCGAGCGGGACGAGGACGGCTAGGTGGCGGTCGTTCGGACGACGAGGACGGAGCGAAGAGATCGCGGGCATTACTTAAAAGAGGGTTCCTAATTGGGAGCCAGCCACTGTTTCGACGGGTGTACCGATGCTCGGATTCGTGTCCCGCAGAAGGGAATTAAGGAGGAAGAAAAAGGGACCGTGGATTCGAGGAAGGAAAGCTTCCTTTCTGCCGACCCTCTAGCCGATACTTTGATCGAAATACCTTCCGACCGTGTTTACCTTTTCGGGCGTGTCTTCCACGTAGACACGTTGAAGGGCTAAATTGGCCGTTGGTTTTTTATGGAACGGTAGTATGAATTTATTACGAGGTGTAAAACGACGAAGCGGGGCGAGCGACCTTGGCTAACGATTGATTTCGTACGAGCTACGCTGACCGGAGACCTCTTTCGTTGGAAGCCTCTTACAACGCGATAACTCGAGAGTCCGGCACGGATCTTGACGCATAATTCACCGCGTGAAAGAGCTTTTTTAAGAGCCAGCAGCAGGCCACCGAAGGAATCTTCCCACTAGAGAATCACGACGAGCCTAA